ATGAAGATTTGAGGTCCTACCCTTCAGTTTAAAATTGATTTTATGTCCTTCAAATTATTTTAATGCTTTGACAGTCCTTCAAACATGTCATGAAAATTGGGTATTTTCAACATAAGCATGTATATATTAATGAGAATTCAGTCAAGTTCTAAATTGGTAATAATCGGGTGAATGGTTTCGGAGTTATTGCGTCAAATTGTCCTTGTAGGCGAGATAGAGACAACAGTTTTTATCCGATCTTCATGGAACTTGGTATGCACTATGAGCTGTTTGAGGTTTTTGGATGGAAGCCGGCTGTGGCCATATTTCACTCTCGTGGGCGAGAAGTCGAGAGACGACAAAGCGCAGAAAAAGGCGATAAAGCAAGGTTTAAAAGAAGGCGAGGAAGAAGGCAAGAAAGCAAGGAAAAAGGCAAAAAACAAGGAACAAGTAACATTTTCCTCGCTTTCTCACCTTTTTCTTCGCTTTCTCGCCTTTTTCTGCGCTTTCTCGCCTTTTTCTCGCTTTCTCGTCTCGCCTTTTTTACTCTCGCTTTCTCGCCATGTTTACCTGCCTTTTACCTCGCCTTTTCCTCCGTTTCCCTCGCTTTCTCGCCTTTTTCCTCGCTTTCTCCCCTTTTCCTCACTTTCTCGCCCTTTTCCTCGCTCTCTCGCCTTTTACCTCGCTTTCTTGCCTTTTTCCTTGCCTTTTTCCTCGCCTTTTTCCTCGCTTTCTCGCCTTTTTCCACACCTTTTTCCTCACCTTTTTTCATTCATCTTTATCAGTGCACATTTTTTTCAAATTGTTAATTGTATTAATGAAAAATTCAAAAAAAAAACATACGAAATTTATTTTGTAAGAATGATAATCAGAAGTAACACATATTCCTTCAAAATAATGAGTTGTGTGTTGCATGTTGCTCCATGCATACAGTATTTTGCATTTTGTATTTAAAATCGGTACCCATGTCAGTCGGTAATCGAATGAGAATCTAGCATTAAGTCGATTTTTGATAAAAATTGTATATATATGTTTATGAAATGGGATGGGCATCAAACAAATGCGTCTTCTTTTCTATTTTGTAATAGTTTCCTCGGTTTCTCGTGGGTGAGAAGTCGAGAGTAGATATGGCTGCAGCCGGCTTCCATACTTTTGCCTTGACTTATAGATGATTTTAAGATTATTTGATAATTCATTATTAAGCAACTAAAGATTTTGTTATCATTTCTGAAAGCTGGGCGTATGTTACCTTGCCTGGCAAGCTATCTTGTTTATTCGTTTTGGTGGTATCCATGGAAATGCATAAATTAAAGAGAAACTGAAAAAAATCTCCAGGGACCAAACTATTTGGAATTTTCTATAAAGATAAATACTATTCGTTTCCTTTTGGAAAAAGCTTTCTAACAAGATCAAGATTGTTGACTTCACATAATAACAGCTAAAAAATCGTATGTTAACGAGGACAGATTTTTCTACTCAATTGAAATTTCAGCGAAAACTAATCAGATACATAAATTCTTGTGTTTATTTCCTTTTATGTTGTTAAAATATAAAGTAATAACAATTATCTGCATTCTTGACCTGAAATTAATTAATTAATTAACCGGTGTGATGAGCAACAGTCCAAACAACCTGTCGTTCTATTATCATCCTTGACCTCAGGGAATTCCCTTTGTGAACTAAAACCCCTTGCGAATTATTTGTTTAGTTTTTGATGGAGTATCCCAATATGTGGCATTTTGCCATTATTTTGTCAGAGTCCAAATCCCTTCTTTAGACTTAATGACATAAATTGACCGGCAATGTCTGTTTATTTCTATAAATAACTTTATCTAAATTGCTAAAAATTCGAGTACCAAAAGGTTAAAAAAACTTTCACACACGCATTTTTCCTTTACATTTGTGAATACAATAGAGCAACAGACCTGTTCATGACATGTTTTTTTCTCAAACACTAGCCCAGGCAACGCTCTTAGATTAAAAAAAAGTTTTCACTGATAGCCGAGGTCAATAACCTTCAACCTGCAAACTTTTAAAAAATTCAACCAGATTGTGAAAAAAGCAAAAGAGAAATTAAAATATTGACTTGTTAAAAAATTTTATGTTTCATTTGACACCCAAATTATCGAAATCAGAGAAGCCGATAAATAAGATAAATGAATAAAATCTGACATATTTCAGGAAATTAAAATGGCAGCCAAAATATTACTTCCAGTATTGGTTTTCATATGCCCACATGGAATGTGTTAACATTAAACAAATCATCTGCTATAGCAAAAATGGCGATGCCATTGTAATACGCCCACATTTGTAGTGGCAGCTAATTTGTCCGGGAGGTTGACAAGAGTTATCAGTAAATGAATGTTGCTGAGAGTGAAATTTTCATATTTCATGGGTTATGTTTACAGCTTACAATTCAAGAACAAGGGCAATAACTCATAGTAAATATTTTTCGATTTGTCTGATTTTCAATAGGGTTCATCCTTGGGTGATTACAAACACTCACACCAAGTCTCATCAAAATCCATCAAGAAACCAGCTCTCTATCGTGTCCACAAACAATTGTGGACATTGTGGACGGACAGTCAGACAGGGGTGATGGCTATATAAGGTTTATCCTTGGGTGATTACAAACACTCACACCAAGTTTCGTCAAAATCCATCAAGAAACAAGCTCTGTATCGTGTCCACAAACAATTCAAGAACAAGGGCAACAACTCATAGTAAAGATCTTTCGATTCGTCTGATTTTCAATAGGGTTCATCCTTGGGTGAATACAAACACTCACACCGATTTTCGTCAAAATCCGTCAAGAAACCAGCTCTCTATGGTGTCCACAAACAATTCAAGAACAAGGGCAATAACTCATAATTAATATTTTTCGATTCGTCTGATTTTCAATATGGTTCATCCTTGGGTGATTACAAACACTCATACCAAGTTTCGTCAAAATCCATCAAGAAACCAGCTCTCTATGGTGTCCACAAACAATTCAAGAACAAGGGCAATAACTCATAGTAAAGATTTTTTGATTCGTCTGATTTTCAATATGGTTCATCCTTGGGTGATTACAAACACTCATACCAAGTTTCGTCAAAATCCATCAAGAAACCAGCTCTCTATGGTGTCCACAAACAATTCAAGAACAAGGGCAATAACTCATAGTAAAGATTTTTTGATTCGTCTGATTTTCGATAGGGTTCATCCTTGGGTGATTACAAACACTCACACCAAGTTTCGTCAAAATCTATCAAGAATCCAGCTCTCTATCTATTTCTAGTTGCGCAGAAAATTATCAGTACCTAAAATAGCACCAAGTTAAAAAAAAGTTCATGAAAGTTCATTTTGCCGTTTCTGAAATTAAGCTTCCAACATGGATGAAAGCCATTTCCATGTAAATGTTTGTTGTAACAAAATTTCCCTTTAACCGTACTTGAAAGCCATTTATCACAAAATTAATTGTCTTGGCTTTGTTTTGTTTAAAGGAGAATGGCACCAGTATGATGGATTTTGTTATCACAAAGAAGAAAAGTCGATGTTTAAACGATTGTCTGAATTTTTTAAACAATCTGATTTGCATTTAATGTTGTTGAGAGATTTAAATACAGCTGCAGAGCATTTTCTAAATCCCTTGGTACAAACAATGTTGTGCCCACATACAAAAAAAAATGTAACTGAAATTTTGGAGTTAAAGGAGCAGGTGGAAATGGCTTTACATTGCATCAGACATCAAAGTAATGGTACTGCAGAATATCATGCAGAAAGTGATTTTATTCAGGTTTGTTGTATTATCTTACTTACCCCTACCTATATTTCTTTATTATACGCCCACATGGAAATGTGGACGTATATTGCTGCCGTCGCCCAGTCCGTCCGTCCACATTTTTGTATGAACGATAGAGGCTACAGTTTTTATTTGATCTTGATGAAACTTGGTATGCATGATTATATTGATAAGATCTCATTCAAGTTTGAAATTGGTAATAATCGGATGAACAGACTTAGTAAAAACGCGTTAAATTTGGATTGATTGCACGATAAAGGATATAATTTGTTTAAGCCCACACATTAATGTCGAAAAATATTTACTATGAGTTATTGCCCTAGGTCTTGAATTGTTTGTGGACACGATAGAGAGCTGGTTTCTTGATGGAATTGCTCGTAAACACTCTACAAGACACAATTCTTGACGGATTTTGACAAAACTTGGCATGAGTGTTCGTAATCACCCAAGGATGAACCCTATTGAAAATCAGAAGAATCGAAAAATATTGAATATGAGTTATTGCCCTTGTTCTTGAAAACCCGTACAATTTTTAGCTCGTAAACACTTCAGAAGGCACAATTCTTGACGGATTTTGACGAAACTTGGTGTGAGTGTTCGTAATCATCCAAGTTTGATGAACCCTATTGAAAATCAGAAGAATCGAAAAATATTTAGTATGAGTTATTGCCCTTGTTCTTGAAATCGCGTTCAAGTTTTAACTTGTAAACACTCTTGAATGTACAATTCTTGACAGATTTTCACGAAACTTGGCATGAGTGTTTGTTATCACCCAAGGATAAAGCCTATTGAAAATCAGAAAAATCCAAAAATATTTTGTATGAGTTATTGCCCTTGTTCTTGAAAACGCTTTCAAATTTAGCTCTTAAACACTGAAAGGCATGATTCTTGCTGGATTTTGACAAAAACTTAGTTTAATTATTCAGTCCCGCGCTGAAGATTGAATATTTGCCTTCTAGAGTTTTCTCAAGCTAAAAATTGAACACGTTTTCAATAACTTATACTCAATATTATTCAGTATTGCCCTAAAGAGTTCAAAAGAAGTGTATGACTGAAGGTTGAATATTTCATAATGGTGATTGTTACTGTTACTGCTAAATATTTTTATTCAAAATCAAAGCTGCCAGTGGGCGTATATTACCTTTCCTGGCAAGCTATCTTTGTTGTATCTTTGCTATTACCTCGCCAAATATCATATCAGCGAAATTCAAATCTTCAACCTCACTACTTGAATGTTTAGGCTTCGCTTTGGAGCTATTGATGACCACAGATTCGGCCATTTTGTCGGAGTTCATCGTTCGATATAAAGACGAGAAAAGCTAATAATTGCTGACAGCTGAGCTCTATTTCTTTAAGTTATCACAAACCAACGTAAGACAATTGCCGTAGGAATAAATTCCTATCTGTTTAGTAAGAAACAGACAAAAGAGGCGACAATTTTTAAAAAATTGTAGAGTGAATGATGAACGATGTTACTCGTTCAAATGCTAGCACGCTAATGGTTATGTGTGGCGCGCGCATCTCAAAGGACCGCGAAGATTACATCATAGGGAAAGGTAAAATCCCTTCTAATTTAGCTAATTATGAAATAATTATGGACATGTGAGACAAACTGATACTTTTCCACTACTTTCTGTTCATGAATATAAGTATTAGCATTTTCATACATGAAAATAAGGGAACTCATCTTTAAGGACTGGTAGTAGAAGAAAAGTAGGACTAGTAGTAGGGGATGTTGTAGGACTTGTAATAGATGTTGTTCGACTTTTAGTAGGAGATGATTTAGAACTGGTAGTAGGGGGTGCGATGGACTAGTATTACAAAAGACTTTTGGACTGGTAGTAGGGGGTATAATTGGACTTGTAGTAGGGGATGTAATTGGATTAGTATTACAAAAGATTATTGGACTGGTAGAAGGGGGTGTTATTGGACTTGTTGTAGGGTATGTTATTGGATTAGCATGACAAAAGATTATTGGACTGGTAGTAGGGGGTGGTATTGGACTTGTAGTAGGCGATGTTATTTGATTAGTATCACAAAAGATTATTGGACTAGTAGTAGGCGATGTTATTGGATTAGTATTACAAACGATTATTGGATTGGTAGTAGGGGGTGTTATTCGATTAGCATGACAAAAGATTATTGGACTTGTAGTAGGGGGTGTTATTGGATTAGTATTATAAAAAGGTTATTTGGCTGGTAGTAGGGGGTGTTATTGGATTAGTATTACAAAAGATTATTAGACTTGCAGTAGGGGATGTTATTGGATTAGTATTACAAAAGATTAGTGAAGATGTTGTTGGACTTGTGGTATGAGGTGTTGTTTGACTGTTTATTATAAGTACTAATATTTCTTTTGGAAACCAGTAATAACAAACTTTACCAATACCAGGATTTGTGAAATAATTATTTAGATAAAAGTAAAACTGGGTAAAGTTATACAGGACTTCTGACAGAATTGTATATTTTTTTTGACATAATTTAATTTTTGCGATAATAACCTCTCCACAGGGAATAAAAACCATCATAAATGAGTTTCTTGACCCTGAAAACATATATTTTGACACCAAAATTATGTCTATTGGGTTTGCGGGAAAGCAGTTGTTTATTATCATTAAAATGGTATTGTTTTACAATTGCAGTTTAGTTTGATTTAATAGGAACCCAAATTTAGATAAGTTTGGCCAATATGTTTCCATTGTACTGAGTTTTGATATGTTATAGAGGATATATTTCTGGGTATAAAACATTTGACAGACTTTCTGTTGTAATTTGATCAAGGTCATATCAAATTTTGCCTGGACTATACAGGTAATTGTTCTGTACTGCCATATATTTATATTTAAATCAAAGCTGCCAGTGGGCGTATATTACCTTACCTGTCAAGCTATATTTATAAGCTAGTTACCAAACTATTTTGTGGCTGTGCAGCAATTAATGTACATGTTGTTCATTGCTTGCAAGACTACAAAGATGCAATGTTTTTGAAGGTTTTTATGTTGAATTTTTGATATTATTTTCCAGATAATGTCTGAATTGGTAATTCAACCTATACTTGACCATCTTTTATCCTGTGAGAAGAACAACACATCATTGATGTTAGCTATATTTGTTATAATGTTAGCTAACCAATTTGAGATGAAGCTGAACTTGGAAAATCAAGATATTGTATATAAAAATTTACTGGTTCAAGTTAACTGTGAAGAGAAAAAGTGTTTGTCTTCTGAATTTATTGTAGAAAATTTGGATAAAAAGTAAGATTTTATTTATAACATCTCATAGTTGAAACACAGACAAACTAATGACTATTTCGCTAACTGATTTCTAAGTTATTGTCAAAAGCACATCAATGATTTTGGTAGTTACATTTGTTGTTTTTATTGCCGTCGCCCCTGTCTGTCGGTCCTTTGGTCCGTCGGTCCTTTGGGCCGTCAAAATTTGTTTGTGAACACAATAGAGACTACAGTTTTCAACTGATTTTAATGAAATTTGGTGTGATCATTTATATTTATGAGATCTTGGACAAGTTAGAATTTGATGATATTTCTATGAATGGCCTTTGAGCTATTGCCCTTGACTTAGGAAAAACGCGTCAAAATTTGTTTGTGAACACATTAGAGACTACAGTTTTCAATTGATTTTAATGAAACATGGTGTGATCATATATATTGATGAGATAATTTGAGGTATTTTGGGTTATTGATATTGTTTTTAAAAATTTGGTGGAATTTCTCAGCATAAATAACTGTCAGTAAATATATATATCATTGAATTCAAACTATTAAAATTTCTTTGACATGAGACAAATCATACTTAAGTCACTAAAGACTGTTTTATCATTTCTGACAGCTGCCAGTGGGCGTATGTTACCTTGCCTGGCAATCTATCTCAAAGCAAATGTAGTGGTCTAAATATTTTCTTGCTCAGGTGATAAATCTTTATTTCAGCTATTGGTATCTATTTTCAGTGAAAAACTGATACAAACACTTGCTACAATAATGTTAAAATCAGCTTGTTCTAAACAACTTGGGTAGAATGCAAAAGCCAAAGCAAGTTTTTAAGTTGTGATTTCTTAGCTGCTGTCTTCGAGTTATGTTACCATTCTGGACAAGCCATTGTTTATTATGTTTATGCTAATACAGGTCATACATTATTTGGATTATTTATAGGTATGTTTGTGAGCAGATTTTGAATTTTATTAAACAACAACCTGATGTTAAAGATCGCATTTGTGTTTGTACATGGTTATATGCTGCACCATTAGTACATTTTTTAAGTGGTCATGTTTATCCATTCAGTAAGATTCCAGTAGATGTTTGTCATTTAAGTCCAGAATGGTGGTGTTTCCCTGATTTTGAACAGAGGAAAAACACTTTAAAGAACTACAAGTGGAACAAGTAAGTTTTTGTCTTTATTCCTTTATATCTCATTCCTCAAATTATGATTGTATTATCTCTATATTCACATTGTTTATTATCTGAATATTATCATACATGGTATTAATATGTATATACATGGTAATAATAATTAAATGAAAGTCAAGTTTGAATCTGATGACTTATATCAGTAGTCACCATGTTGTCTAACTAGTGATGTTCGGATTGTCGCCGACAATCAATTAACGGTCATTGAAAGTCAAACCATGCTACTAATTGATTCCGAATTGAAAGTCGGTGATATCGGCAAAAAATATAAAAAGCCAGTCATGTTGTTTTTTGTTGATAATAAAACATTTCTAATGATAAATAAAACTTCAACTTATAATGATTATTACAGTGTAACAAAACACAAGACAATATTATGGAATATAACACACTTCTTTAATAAGGTTGGGCATATAATGTTTCAACACAGTATACACCTGTCGTCATCAGATGTAATGGCAAGAGAATAAAACATAACAAAATATATACCAACAAGAAACAATGTAGAGACTAGAGCCGTATATGCAACGGCACTGAAGCAGTGCGTTGCATCCTGGCAGAAAGAATCATGAGACTACAACTTGATTAAATATGCCCCATAATTCATTACGCTTCTTTACAAGGTTTCATGAAACTAGAGAATTTTCACAGATTTTCCTTCTGTTGTTGTATTGTCAATTACAAGAATATATACCCCTTATGTTTTTTTTTTAATTTTTCACTGGTCAACGATACAATTCTAACACTTTTTTAAATTTCTTTTTTAAAAAAATTAAAAAGTACTTTTTTAAAATTGATTTTTTTGTGTGGAATAGGATCAGTCTCTTCAATATTTAGAATTTTTAAAATATAGGAATCCATGTTCCAAACATTTAAGAATAATCCTGGCACTCGGCTTGTGTTATTGTCCTATTCGCAATATTCAAATAGCTATAAAAACGCATGTAAACATCGTACAACAAAATTAAAGGCATCATGTGATGGATGTCGTCAAGGGCTATGACTTTTGTTCAGGCAACTTAGTCACCACAGGTCAAGGTCACGAGATATGAGCCTTAAAAGTTTTGAAAAGTTTTGACATTATAGATCAATGACTTTTGACATTGGCATCAATGACATCAAAGATGAAGGTCAAAAGTAAAAGTG